TGCCAGGAAGCGACTTATTGTTAACAGCTTGTAAAACTAAGACAGGCGCATATCTATTTTAGTAAGCTGCTTCTTAAATATTTACTAAATTTTGTTCTGTGAGGTACGGTGGCATAATGGATAGCTACGCAGACTGAGGAATCGGAGAACAGGGTTCGAATTCCAGTCGAGTAGTTTTTACATTCATTTGCGTGATAATTCCCTTGGGAAAGTTATGAATTCATCTCTTCTCGGTTATGGGTAAATAATAGGACAGACTGGGTTCTATAGCATTGAGTGGGCAACTCTGATTTCGAAATACCATTTGAAGAACGAGGAATTTTTAAGAAAAATGGAAACAAAGAAAAAATACACTTCGAAGTAAGAGTTGAAATTTCTGAAACATTTAATAAGGAACTTGGATAATTTGGCACTCAAAAGACATAATGGTAAAGAAATGAGAATAGCGAAACGATCTTATTACTTAGAGCTACAAAAAAAAAGAAAGTCGTCCACGGCCTGAAAGCACACGGCAGGAAAAAGAATATACTAAAACTCTTGATAACAATATAGGGAATCGATGCACTGGAAATCTTCATTTATTTATTTATTTAGTTATTCCTCATTTAAAAATTCTGGTTTGTTCTTTTATTTTTATTTTTTCTTTTGCATTTGCTTTAGCGTACGATTTAAAAGGTTGAAATAGGGCCAAATTGAAATATTTGGAAATTGGAATGCAAAAAAAGAAAATTAATAACGCCATTTTGTTTTTTCAAAATGGGAATGAAGCTTGCTTTTTTTTCTTTTTTATTGGGGGTGGTGGCAGAAATCACTAATTTTCAAAGGGCAAAAGAAAATGGTTTATTATTTCAAATCGATTCTATTGAAAATCAAACGATCTTGGCACAAACCCTAAAAGAGCAGTTCAAAGAGAAATCCTCCTTCATTTCAGTTCAGTCCCCTCAATAAGTTCTTTTCCTGTTTCCCTTACGCTTGAGCATGCGCACAAATATACTTCGAAACCGACTGTTCAGGATAGATGCAACAGTTAAATAAATAAATACGTTTGAGTTTCAAATAGACAGGCCGATTAGGAAATACTTTCTCACCCTTTTATTTAGACAACGAGCGTTCAGATGCGTTTCATCTGAATATTTAATAAAAGGGGGTGGCCATATTAAAGATAAACTGAGCAGGTTTTTCTCCAAAGAATTATCGTTCGAACCCGTCTATTTGATTCTTAAATGTAATCTGATGTGCCGTCATTAAATATTTCTGTATTTTTCTCCTTAAGTCTGTTAATAAGTGTTGATAAGCCGTATAAAATGAATCTATCAATAAGTTTGTTAATATCTATCTATCTGCTCCAAACTCTTCATAAAATTTGATCTATGAATCTTGAGTAATCAGCAGTTGAACAATGCCAGTGGGATCAAACTCTCTGTCACAATGACTTGTGATTCGTGTTGAACTATAATCGACGACTCTGCCTAGTTTTACTCACAAAGTTTGAATAAACCCTTGGTGTGGTTTTTCACTTTCCAACGCTGCATGCTGGGATCGTCTCTCCAGGTAGATAGTATCAAGTAGCCACCTCCTTGACAAACTGAACAGGGGTCCCATGGTCGGTACTCTAACGTTCTAACCAATCAGCGACGCGCTCCCACAAAGTGTATGCATATATATTATTTTACGAGAATCAGGAAAAAACCTGTTTAACATCATTATTCTGGCTTTGCTTGGTCATAGCGGTCAAAGCACGCCAGATCTAATGAAGGGGAACGCAGGTTTGAATCCTGCCGGAGAACGCATATTTTTCTAATAAGATTTCTCGAATATTCAATCCCGCCGTAGATAAAAATAAAGAAATGTATTTTTTAATAAATAAACATAGCTTCTACTAAAAATACAGTATCTACTAAACATAACGTTTAAGTAATAAAAAATATAACAGTATGTATTTTCCTATATATATATATATATATATATATATATATATATATATATATATATATATATATGTGCATGTTTATGCATCTTTGATAACTGTTTCCACCACCCACATATTTGCTAAAATAAGAAACGTTTACTCCGTACGTATACGATCTTGTGTATGGATGTACAACATACTCAATTATCTACTTATTAGCATCTTAATCCAAAATCTCGCTTTTTCCTATTTTGTTTACACTCTTCGATCGTCTCAAATAGATATTGTTAGAATTCATTCCTTCCATACACCCAACAGACACAAACACACAACTTTCTTCTCCCGTTCTCATTACAACTCCGCAACGATGGACGCCCTTGTAGATTTTTCGACCATCAATCATTTCAGATCTTTAAAATTTACATTTCCATAATAAAAATGAAAAGAAAAATAAAGAATAACGAGGAAAAAAAGAAATTCGTTATTTGTCGTCTGCTAATGATCAAACATTTGCCATAAGTTTCCGCCATTTTTTTTTTTTTTTTTTTTTTCATTTCGAAACTATATTTACTTGATTTTATTTACTTACTCATTTATTTTCTGTAACAGTTTTTTTTTATTTAGTTGATTTTTGTCTATTTTTAATGATTTTTCTCCATCTCGTTTTCTCTCCGATCTCTGCTAAGGGCTGATTTAATTGAGTTCTGTATTTCCTTTGTAGTAAAGGTCGTTCGTCTTCAGGTTTCTTTCATTTTCAATTTTTTCTGTTTCTTACATATTCTTACACACATGTAGGTATTTAAATATAATCAGAGGTTCTCTCAAGACCATATTCCCGCACGTATTCTTATATGTATGTATATGAGTAGAGAGAGAGATAGGTACAGGCACTATTAACCTTTTTATATCTTAGTCTACATTAATGGTAATGGTTACATTACCCGTTTACTTATAAGGAAACATTCGGCATTCATTAGCCAAGCAACAAATATTACTGTTGGTTGAAATTCATAAAATCTCTCTCAAAACTATTTTTCATGAAAATAGGTTTCTCAAGTCCAGTAGCTGTTATTGCTCTTTCCAGTATTGATGGGGGTTTCCTTTCTAACCTTTTCTCTGAAGTAGTGTAGAATGTCAACATCTTGATTATATAATTATTTTCTCTTCTAGTTACATGTGATATTAGTTTTAATTGCTGCTCCTGTCAATAGTCCTTAAGTGCTGTGGTTTCTGCTATCATTTTTTGTTTGTGATTCTGTGGCGCCAGTCCACAAGGGTCGAACAAGGAAGGTCTTCACTCGCACAAAGGCATATTTTACCATTTATCTGAGAACTACAAATGTATATAAGAACATAAAATAAATATTCCAAATTATACATATTTCATGATATTTATCTACAGACAAGTATACTAATTGGTGAATTATACAAACACGTACAGTATATGGCAAACTTTTGGAACCACTTTCTGGATTTCAAAGTAGCTTCGAAAAATTTGTAGGTTGCATGCTTTTTTAAAACTGATTTTCAATCTCACTTCGGGACAGAGGGATTTTTTTTTATCTTTCTGGAGGGTTTTATCTTTCTTTTGATAAGGGCAAAATTAAACCATTACTTCTTAAAGTAATAATTTTACCTCATTTTTTTGCCTAATCTCCGTTGCTGGTTAATGGTAACCTTAATGCTGGCGAATTTTATATTTTAGGTAACCCCTCATATAAAGCCATAGAAACTCGCCCTCTTGAACTCTAGCTGTGCTCAACAGGCGATAGATCCTACTAGAATTCAAAACCGCGCAAATAATACGTCAAAATATGAATAGAAACTAACAATGCCCCCCCCCACACACACACCTTGAAAATGACTAAGGAAGCGGCCGGAATCGCTTGGGACAATGGATGATATGGAGAGTCTTTGTACTATCTCACTCCCTTCAAACGGAAAATGTAAGAACGCTGGAAAAACTAAATAAAAAAATCAGTGTCAATGTCCGTCACACACACACACACACACATATATATATATATATATATATATATATATATATATATATCAGATTCAAGAAATTCCAAGAGATACATGCCATCACTCCACTAAAAGGCGATCCCATTGGTGATCCAAATTTTTGTTTGCAAAAATCATTAAATGTGAAATAGCATTGACTGGTGATCAGATGGCATCGGCTGGATTAATAAAAAATACACACACACACACATATATATATATATATATATAAGGGGTTTAGGTTGGCTTTTGAACTATCAAAATCGTTTATTTTACATTCAATATCATCACTTGATGAGACATTAGATGTGTCGAAACAAAATTACAACATTTGTAGTGATCTTATAACAGGCATATGTTATAAATTTGAATATATATATATATATATATATATGAGAGAGATATTATATATAATATACATATATTATGAGATATATATATATATATATATATATGCATTCTTCTCCAAATCAAAGCAAATGATCAAACATAGAAATTATTTTCATCTTTTCTTAAATAGATCTAGAATTTTTCAGCATCTCCTTGTGATCACGCATATGTGTATATACACACACACACACATACATATGTATGTATATATATAGTGTGTGTCTGTATACAACGACAGAGGTTAGTAATTCCTTGATCTTCACACGCTAATTGCCTCTTATTAGCGTAGTTTGCTTCGTTCGGGACGAGAGAGAATGCAGTAACAAGTAAATACAGAGACGCACGAAAACTGAAGTCCAATCGGAAGGAAAATTGAAATTTCGAGGCTGGAAAAGAAGTTAATAAATTGCAGTGAAGTACTTCTGTCGATTGGCCTTTTTATTGTTTGTATTTCATTCCTTAATCTGACATGTTTTTTGTCTTTTTAACCAAAACTAAACTAAAAAAAAAAAAAAAAAAAAAATCATCGATTTTCATTTTCTCCCACGAAATTTCTCTATCACCGACCATTATGGGAAGAACAAAATCGTTATGGAGGAGGAGTAATTAAGAGAAACGAATTGCAAACCACAAAAGAAGTTGATGAAACGAAATAAAACTCTACCAATATTCCACTTTTGTTTTACGTACAACATTCTTAGACACATGCCAGCTCATCGACGATTTGATTACGATTACTTAAGAGTTGAATGATGGTAAAAATAAAGATAGCGAAAATAGAGTTAAAAGAAGAGTATGAAGCTGAAATAATGAAGTGAGTGATATATTCCCCTTTACTCTGACGTAAGATTTTATTATTGAGCAGTGAAAAAGAAAAGATAAGGAAAACTGTGAAAAAAGAGATAGCACAAAGGAAAGAAGATAAAGTATAGTAAAAGGAATGAGATAAAAGATAAATGAGAATGGAAAAAAGAAAAGAATGAAAGCAGATCAAAAGAAGGAAAAGATGGTGAAAAGAGAACAAGAGAGAGCGAAAGAAGGGAGCGAAAACAGAAAAGAATAAGAGGGAGAGAGAAGAGACTGAAGAGAGAGAGAGAAGAGACTGAAGAGAGAGAGAGAAGAGACTGAAGAGAGAGAGAGAAGAGACTGAAGAGAGAGAAGAGACTGAAGAGAGAGAGAGAGAAGAGACTGAAGAAGAGAGAGAGAGAAGAGACTGAAAAGAGAATGAAACAAGAGAGGGGAGATCGAAACGAGAGAAAGAAAGAAAAGAAAGAGAACGAAATGTGAATGAGAAAGCAGATAACTAAAGAGAGAGAGAGAGAAAAAAAAAAAAATAGAGTAAAGTAAAAATAGAAAAAGGTTCAAAGAAAAAAGAAATAAAAATTAAGTAGGATAGAAAAACAGATGACCGCGAAATAAAAGTGAAAAATACGTAAAAAAAAGGGGGGGGGCAAATCGTTTTAAAATTTGAATGCAATTTTCACATAGGTTTTTCCTATCGGAAATATCGAAAAACGGCATTAAGTATATTAAATGAATTTTCCCTGCAATATGAGACGTGCTAAAAACATCTTACCCAAGCTTTCAAATTTTATGAGAAGAATCACACCAAATTTAAACGGTATTTTGAACTAGTAAGTCAACCACCCTTCTCCATTTCCCACTAATTCAACTCATAAAACATCCATAAGTAATTAAAGTATAAAATCGTCAGTAACTTCAAAATCAAATTATCCTACAACCTAATAGATCGACAAATTATCCATGTCATTTCTTGGGCTAATGGAAAAAACACGATAGTGATCATCGTCTTTTCGAGTAAAATGTGACAATTTCTACTTGGTTACATGGTAGTATATATCTATATCTCTGAAATGAGGTATTATGATTACTTGCATTATTTACATTACTCGGATTGTTATCCTCATCTTCATTGCCATATTCACAACGTTTCGGCCGTTGGATAAAGATGTTGATTAGATCCAGTGACTAGACCCAAATATCTGTCTGTATCCCTGAGATGAGGTATTATGATTACTTGCATTATTTACATTATTCGGACTGTTATCTTCATTGTCAAAGAGAAAGGGGAAAAAATTATCGATAGAAAGAGAAAGGGGGCGAATACCGAGAGATAGGAGAAAGGGGAAAAAATTTACCGATAGGTAGAAAGAAAGAGAAAGGGGGAAAATTACCTATAGATACATAGAGAGAAAAAGGGGGAAAAAAATTACCGACAGATAGATAGAAAGAGAAAGGGGGGGAATTACCGATAGAAAGAGAAAGGGGGAAAAAATACCGATAGATAGAAAGAGAAAAGGGGGAAAAAATACCGATAGATAGAAAGAGAAAAGGGGGAAAAAATACCGATAGATAGAAAGAGAAAAAAGGGGAAAAAATACCGATAGATAGAAAGAGAAAGGGGGAAAAATACCGATAGATAGAAAGAGAAAGGGGGGAAAAAATACGATAGATAGAAAGAAAAGGGGGGGGAAAATACCGATAGATAGAAAGAGAAAGGGGGGAAAAATTACCGATAGATAGAAAGGGGAAAAGAAATACCGATAGAGAAAGGGGGAAAAATTACCGATAGATAGAGAATGAAAAACTAAAGTATAAATGAGAAGCGAAATAAATAAAAAGTAAAGAAAAATAGATAAAAATAAAAAAGAATAAGTGAAGAGATATAAAAACTTAAAAGTTATATAGAAAAACTAAATAAAAACAGAAAAATAAAGAGAAAAAGGAATTTACTTTTTTTTCTTTTTTTTTTTTTTTTTAAATTTCAGATATCAAAGATTAGATTTTAGTTATTTCACACGGAGTAAATAAAAAAAAAATGTTCTGAAAGGTTATTTTCTGTCGTTAAACATCAAGAAACTCGGAAATATTCGCAACATTTCGGCGACTTCCGAATACGTCATGTATCAAAGAAAATAAATCGTGACGTCATTCGTTGCCCAAAGCTCAAAAATATTTCTTTCTGCATAAGATATTGAAAGATTCCATCTCGCGTTATCTCAGTCCTGAAACCATCATCCCTTACAGAGAACTTTCCGAGAAAATATTACATCTTAGCAGAACTCAAAAGAAAGAGAACAAAGAAATCGATTTAAACGTTCGATCTTTAAAAATATCAATCGCTGATGTAAGACTTGACGTCACGAGTAAGATTTAATAAACCCATTCTGTCAGATCGTTCAATCAACTTCAATGATTACATATATTGACATCCTTCGGTTTACGCCATATCGCTTCTACGATAGACCTGCACAAGTTTTCTCGCTATCCGAATTGGCGTAAAGCGAATAAATGATTATCATAAATCATCTATTAATTAAATTATTTTTTTTTTATTATTTCCACAGGTAGATATGTTTCTAACTATATGATTATACTGTTTTAAATAAAAAAGCACTTTTCGACAGAGTTGTTATCAGGGGAGTCGAAAGCGATAAAATTTTTGCACTACACTTCAAACATAAATTAATTGGCTATAACTCTTAAACGACGGGAAAAAGGTTGCATAAACATGCTGAATGAATGTGTAAAAAAACGAGAAAATTCAGTTTTTAAATTGTAGTTTTTCTGTTTATTTTCGCTTTATATAAGGAAATTGTACGAGGTTTGATAAAAAGAAAAAAATCAGGTTTGTTGCTATGGTAACGGCGCTAAAGTACGCAGAGTAAAGCCATTTGGCAAGTTGTAATGTTTTCGAGCACTTCCGTTATTTAAAGCAGTGTTTGGAAGGAAAGTGTGTAGAGTGTGGTCGTCTCACCAAACTACAGTGATTCCATCAGTGACAATGACTTCTGAAGTAGTTATTGGCTAGGCACAACATTCCCTAGATCTGACAACCACTATATTCCCCATATCTCGCCGATTGCGACTTTTTGTTCTTTCCAAAAATCAAATCCCACTGGAAAGGAACAAGATTTCAAGACTTCGAGGAAATTCAAGAGAATGTGACGAGGCAGCTGCTCGCTATCCCAGAAAACGTGTTCCAGGAATGCTTCCATCAATAGAAACGATGCTGGATAAAAAAAGGTGACAACTATATTTTATTATTTCCTAGACCCAAAATAATCCTTGAACGGTGTGTATCATCAATTGTTGTTTCATTAGAGATCATCGGATATGATCAATTGATAATTTAAACGTTTACAGATATAATTCATTCATGATTTGAGTCTCAATGACAAATTGGCAATTCGAGGATTAAGGAGATTACTATTTAATAGGATTCCTGAATTTCTTGGAGTATTTGCCTGCAAATAAAGCTGGGAGAGCAAGCCAAAGATATATTGACTGACTGATTTGTTCTTTACGGCTTATCAACCTTTTCTTAGAAAGACAGAGAATATTTTTAGACTGTAAGACACTTTTTGAAGATGTTTTTACTGATAAACGTCTAATTAACCCATAGTTGGTGGAGTGGGATAGATTCGATTTGATCAATTTGTTCTTAGCAGGTTATTTAAAGCCAGAAAATATTTTTGGATTGTTAGGAACAACAAAATTGGTGAAAAACGTTCGAATTTAGACGAGGCTGAATTTTTTCAGTTATACTGCTACTCTTGCGAAAGTCTGTATCCTCCTCTCCCCTGCCTCACTCTATTGCTCATTGCTTTAAGAAAGGTCTCGTTACTGGCATGTTGATGACGGATGAAGGCGAGTACAATTATATGAAGGATTCTTCCCAACTACAAGTACAAATTAAACTAGTAATATGTAGCTAATGATATGACAAAAGAATGAGGGCCGCCAAGTTTGTTTTTTGTTTTGTTTTTCATTTACTAATGTTAACCCAATACAAGGCTCAAGAGCCACGCAAGGTAGAGGGTTACTGTGTGGTGTTGTATGAGTGTAAGAAACGCGGTAACTTTCATTAAGATGATTATCTTTTTATTTACTTAAGATAGAATATCATTGAAGTATAATTGTTATATAATTATTTATTTATTCGAAAATTATAACATAAATGTTATAAAATCACTACAAAAATAGCTATTTTGTTTCAACACTTCTGGTGTCTTATCAAGTGATGCTGTTGAATGTAATATTCTACATTCAACACCATCACTTGATAAGACACCATTTATGTTATAATTTTCGAATAAATAATTATATTTGCTCTACTCTGTATTGAGCACTCTTTTAAGAATAGTATTTTTTCGTTACAGAAATTTATTCCGTATACACCAATCCTATACTTGGATATATATATATATATATATATATATATTCATTCATGTCTGAACCTGACAGTCGCTCTTCGCCTTTTCCCACATAAATTAACTTCAGCCTAAAACGTCCATTCGTAGTGTCTCCCAATTTCAACTAAGAATGTGCCTTTAAATAGGCTACGTCTTCAAAGATTTGCTATGTTCTATTTGCGTTTCGTTCTGTCGTTTTATTCTTTGTCAGGTCCGAACGAGAGAGTTTATTTCTTCATAGAAATACTGTAAAGTCTTAGCATTAGCGAACTCGCCTGGACACTGTAATGTGTTCGATTCTCATTGCAAGGTACTCAATCGTAGCCTTATGTCATACAATTCTAATATAAGGAATTAAAATAAAAAAAAAATGTTCTACATTGAAGCGAATCGCCTGAATTGGATATTAAAGTAAATATATGAATCTTCTATGTTTCGGCTTTAAATATCATTGAAAAGATTGATAAACCGTAAAAAAAAATCACTTCATCAATATATGAATCTTCGATGAGGAAGATATTAAGTCTGTGATTGACTATAGGACGGTTACTTTGTTCAAGCTGAAAGAATATCCTTGGCTTTCTGCGGGCTGATGTTAACGAGGTTTAGGTTTATGGCCTCGGGCTACGAATCGATAAGCTGTCCAAAATCAATGAGTCAAAAGTGCAAATGTTGGTTTTATATGAAGACCATGATGATCATCCTGAAGAAAAAAAAAAGAGCGTTTATCTTGTGGATATAGCATAGTGCGTTTAGTAGTTGGAATAAGAGCTATAAAAAAGAAAATGGCGGTAACAAAAAAAATTATTTACATTGTTCGGACCGTTGTTCTCATCTTTATTGTACGTTGTACGCTCCGGCCTTTTTCAGCGGACTGAAATTTCGAACTTAACTCTTTATTTTGTCCACCGGGGTAGATTGGTCTAGTTCCACGCGCCATGCCTCTTCTGGATGTCTCAGTTATCTCCCTTTAACTCAACTCAAGTTGTTGTTAACCATTGCAGTAGCCAAGTATTGAACACACAACTCCTTGGATCAAGTCACTGGACGCATAGCAAGTGGATAAAAGCTTTGGTTAGATAAAAAAAAATTAATTATGAAAAAAGCTAAAACTTATAATTAATACTAGTTTAAAAAATTAATAATAATAATTAGTACCGGATTTTTAAAAAAATAAAATAAAATTAATATCTAATTAAAAAAAAAATTTATAACTAATAACGGCTTTTTTAAAAATAAAACTTATAATTAATGTTGGATTTTCGATAAACTTATAACTGATACTGCATTTTTTCTTTGTTTTTTGTTTTTAATTAATCCCGGATTTTTATTTAAATTTTCATAATTAATACCAGTGAGCTTTAATGGATTACAAAATTAACAATTAAATGTATTTACTGATTGCAAATATTTGGGAAGATTTTATTGCGCCAATAGACAGATACTCCCGAAAAGTCAAAGGTAACAAAAAGAGAGAAAAGGAAAAAAAAAATCTGCAGGATGAAGTCTGAAAGAAACGAAAATTTGAATAGACAAAATATAAAGAAGAAATTTGAAGAAATAAAACAAAAACAAATATATATTAAAAATTTAAAAAAAATAAAAACTAAATAAATAAAAATAAAAAAAAATTAAAAATAAAATAGGAATGGAATAATATCTTGTAAGAGAGAAAATTAAAATGAAAGCTGGTAAAAGAGTTAGGGTCGAGAAAATAAGTGAGAGTGGCAATGGAATTGGTAGAGAGGCACTGAAAATCGAGGAAATCGGGGTCGTCAAAAAGATTGACTGAGAAAGACACACCAAAGAAAGTGGGAAAAAAAATCAAGAATAAAACTAAAAAAAAAAAAAAAACGTAAAATGCAGTAAGAAAAAAGTAAGAATATAAAATGAAGTTTATTTCACAAAGAAATAAAAACGTTACAGAGAGATTTTTTTTTTTTTTTTTTTAAAGAAAAATGAAAAACATTTTTTGAAATCGTTAGCCACAATTCTCGGAAGATTAGGGCTAAATTCAACATTTTACAGTATTTTCATCACTTGAGACAAAACCTGAGGCTATGACAAGATGTACCGTTCCCTGGACCCGACTTGAACCTGGCTCGTATTTAACTCATTTCACTGTAAACTCAAAACAACGTATTCTCTGTCTATCAGTCTCTTGTCGTATTATTCCTGATCTCTCTTTATCCATTTTTATCTGCACCCTTTTTATTATGTTCTTGAAAATCTCTTCCCATATAAAAATCTTCATTCTTATTTCAACTAACTTTTTAATACATTTTTTGTTTGTTTGTTTTTTGGTTTGTTTGTTTTTTTTGTTTGTTTTTTGGGGGTTTTTTGTTTGTTTTTTGGTTTTTATTTTTGGTTTTTTTTTTTGTTGTTGTTTTTTTGTTTTTTATTGCGTTCATATTTTCCTCTCTTCTGTCTTTATAGACACTCTCTCTTCCCAACTCTTTTCATGGTGTTTATGTGTGGTCAAAAGTATTTGGTCATTGTTCTTTGTAAAAAAAAACAAAAAAAAAACAATAAAAACGGAGACACGGGCGAATGGCAGAAACCCTTCATCAATCGCTATGAACAAATAAAAAAAAGCATTAAAATAAATAATAAAAAAAAAACAGATGAGGATTATTATAAATTTTTTAAAGATTTTATATATTTATTTGTTCATATTTCCAGAGTTCTGAGGGTCCCATCTTGTTGTCCTATCTGTGTTCTGTTCAAGGGGATGACAAGTAAAAAGATGTTGGAGTATTTATTTTGAAGACTCATCCTTATTTCCCAGGGGTTGTCAATTTTCTAAAAGAGAACAAAATTGTCTGGGTTTTTTTTGGGTTTTTTTTTCATAATTCAGTGTTGTCAAATGATTTCTTTTAGTATTTTCTCTTTGATTTTGTTTTTCTTTTCTAAAACATATAGAAATGAATAAAATACTCCCTACGCCATCTTTCTCCTAAAATACAATACGTTAGAACAAAAATTCTTAATAGAAAGAAAAAAAAATCATTTTTAAATTTCTCAATATTCAAAAATTATGAAGCGCTCTCAACATTTATTATTCCCCAAAAAGCACAATTCATTTAATGGATTTTGAAACTCGACAATAGATTTTAAAACTGCGTGTACGAGAGTGGATCAGTAAGTCAGTGGCCTGACAGTTATTATATTTCGAATGTTGTTCACTATAAATTCCGATCAATGCATTTCATATTCACAATTGCAAGAAAGATTTTTGTAAACTAAATATTTGTATAAAATGATTTTTTTTGGGTGGGGGTTGTTTTTTTTTTTTTTTTTTTTTTTCCATAAATGGGCTACAGTATGTACAGACTTAAAAAAATTGTTAGGTGGGAGCAGGGTACTCAATATCAGTCACAGAGCTTTTATTTATATAGAAAGTATAAACAGGGATTTTTGTAAACTAAATATTTGTATAAAATGTTTTTTGTTGTTTTTCTTTTCATAAATGGGCTACAGTATGTACAAATTTTAAAATTTGTTATATGGGGGCAAGGGTACTCAATATCAGTCATAGAGCTTTTATTCATATGGAAAGTATAGACAGGGATGTTTACTCAAACACATACACCCACTAAATCAAACGTTTATAATAAGAAATAATCGGTAACTAATGACAAATATTCCCTTTACGCCCAGAGGTTAGAGTCAGTAACACACCCTGATATATGTGACAGTGACTAATAGATGAAGTTTTATCTTTTAACAGACCCACCCTCAAATGTGATCTTGAATCGTGTACTGCATCTGATATGTATACAGTTTTCTTTAGACTTGAAACAATTTTCATTCGTGGATGGCGAGTAATTACTTATCACTTTCATGTTTTAGAATATTGGTTGATTGTGCACCTTAAAGAAGGCCCTTGAATGGATCGGCTGAAATGGTGAAAAAGTAAAATCAAGAAAAAAAAAATTAAAATGATTGAAGGTTCGCCATCTAGTAGAACATATTAAGAATTATATTTGAGTAAATGTTACTTCATTTTAAACAAACCTATCTTATGGCTGAAAAAGTTTTGTATTTTTCCTGGTCGGCGTTAAAATCTATACAAAAATGATAATGAATGCTGATTTTAAAAGCAAGTATACCTCACAGCCTGAAAGAATAAAACACAATCTTTCTGTAGTTTCGCCTATTGTCCGGTTCATACATACCTTCCCAGTCTTTTGACACAGTAGAGGTTTATCCCTTGTTTCCGGTTCATTCTAAAGCCTGAACGATTTGCTAATTAGATCTTGACTTCTTAGTCTATCAGTCTCGTCTTTCCTGTTGTTTTCTCTTTCTTACGCTAATACATCTCTACACAGAAAGCCTCTACCTTGAATGAGTCTTGGGCCTTGTATGGGTGAAAATTAGTAAAATATATATATTCACTGAATATTACGATATTTTGAACTTGTTCGAATTGTTCACAGGTAAGGTTAATTTGAAGACGTAGAACTTCCTATCAGTTCGAGTGTCTTTTGCTGCACCGCATTTGTAACATTAAAACAGCCGTTGTCGTATATCAAAATCTCTGGTCGATCTCCAAAACTAGAATAAGGTCTTTTCTAACGAAATAAAAAAAAAAAAAAAAAAATAAACTAATGCTGATGTCAAACCTATTTCTAAAACTTTATTTATAAGCAAAAATGGTAACAACGATCTCATGTCATTTTTAACCTTTCTTCGCGATAAGATAAATCAAGTTTCTCTTACCCGCCTCCAGCATTCTTTTTTTCATTGGAAAGAAACAGTCTATTTTTCATTACTTAGAACACATTCACTTATGGCATCTCTGATGTACAACCTCTATTGTTTAATAAGCGATCGTGGTTACAGATCGGGCGACAATATCTATGTATGAACCATCTCCTTTTAAAATCTGATGGAGGTGCCGGTTAATGGTGGACGAAATTCAATCCCTAAAAATGACCATCCTGAGTAAATGTCATTGTAAATGGAGTTCCATTTGTTCTGTTGCCAGAACAATGTTCGACACGATTTGCCTGCCTCACTTGAGGTGGGCGGTACATATCCTTTGCACATAAAGAAAGTTAAACAAACAATTGTTGGTGGGGGGGAATTGCAAAAAGGTGAAACACTGGGATTACAGGGATCAGGTGTGGTGTTATATTTGGAAGCGAATAGTGGGTGTTTGAAACGGATACTTATTCATCCGTCTTTTCTGTTTGGAAACACCGAGCATTGTAAGCGACTTCCTATACGCTTAAGTATGTTTCGGCTTTAAATAATCCTCAGAGGGTTGATAAATCGTAAAAAAGACAAATAAACAAATCA